AGGGTTGGCCGAAATCGCTATTTCCCGTGCCGGGAGGTAGCGCAAGGAGTAGGGCGGACCCTCGCCACACTGGGGTCACCGACAAAAAGTTACCGCCCCGCGAGTTGAAAACGCGTTTAAACTCTGCAAACAGACACCGACGGTTATCGACTCACGGAACTGCCAAAAAACGGGGGCGCGACCGCACCCCTGCGGGGCAGCGGGAACGGGCAGGGCTGGCTCCGTGCACCGAGAGAGCTGATCGCAGGGTCGCATACAGGCTCGGGCTCTTCTGGGCTTTGAAATAACTGTAAAAGGCAAGAAAAAGGGATTAAAATAAATCCTGCAATGTTTTGGACTAATTAGCAAGAGCTGCTTGGAGAACGCGTTTGCAAAGCGGGCCAAATTGTAAGAACTGTGTATAAAAAGGGAGCATTCCAGGCTGCCACCCTGCACTTACTTGATGTTCAAAACAATCAGACTCCTTTGAAAACAAACAAACAAACAAACCCCACTGCCTGGCAAAGTGCACACTTTTTGTGTGATTATTGCGATTGATGCCTGCACCAAGCACAGGCAGTTCCTGCCAGGACACAGGGGGTGGGAATTCCCAGGGTAAAGAGATGTCTGAAACAGCCCGCAGTGGATTTCTCGGCCCTTATTTGTTCTGCCACATTTTCAGCCTAAAATCCGTTGTGTCAGTGGAAAGAAAATGCGCGCTTTTCTATGGAAAAGCACCTGCAACGCCTTTTATCAAAGCTACTACTTGCATTTGGTTCAGATCAAACCCGAGTTCAGTCTTGTACGTTTCCTTGGGCAGCTGTGAAGCTCTGAGCATTGCCAATTTGACTTTATCAGCTGCCAGGAACTGGGGTTCGGTCGGGTTTGCTTGGTTCGGTTCGGTTTGGCTTGGTTTTGGTTCCCCCTCCCCCCTTTGAGGCATGGGAATTGTAGTCTTTGCGCTCACGGCTCGGTTTCTGTGTGAACTACATTTCCCAGGCCCCCCTCCGGCAGGGCCGCCCCTTCCTGCCGCGGAGCGGGGGCTCGGCCGCAGCATGAAGGGTGAGCGCTCGGGCATCATTCACCGCATTGCCCTTGATTCCTTAGATTCGGCTCTTCCCCCCCCCATGCCCGTCATCACCACAGCAAAAGAGACTCGGATGGCGTGGCTGTCCCTCGGAATTTGTGGCCTGTAACCGTCTGCAGAAAGCCGTTTATCTTCTCTTTCTGTGGAGCATCTCGGATGCGTGTTGAAAGCCAACTCTAGCCTCGGCCCTCGATAGGTACGTTTAAAGAGTTTCACTTATGCATAGTAGTTGCTGTTTTTTAATCTAAGCATTTTAATTTTAAAAGCAGCTTTGCATTTCACAGGAAGTATTCTGTCCTTTCTAGGCTTCTCCACTGTGCTGTCCTGTTCGGACACTTCACAGCAGCTCTCAGACGTATCTGTTACTTTGCTGCTGGGCCAGCCATTGCCTTCTCTCTCTTGTGGGCCAACCCATATGATATCTCCATTTCATTCCCCCTCAAAACATTTCCTTCTGAGAGACCTTTTGATGATAAGGGACAGGAAAGGAGAATTTTCATCAGTTAAAGCAATTTAAACACTGTCAAACTGGCTGAACAGCCTTTGGGGAGCATCGTAACAGATGTTACTCTCAAAGCAAATTAGTTTAGTGAAAGACTTTGTCCCTTGTAATTCCTATGGAAAATTAAATCTCTTCAGAAGGAAGGCCCAACACAGCTCCTGCT